ATGCATGCAAAGGCTGGACAGTGGATAAGGAAGACCATAGAAGAATTGATGCACTTGAGTCACAGTGCTGAAGGACCTATGCACTGCCAAAAGAACAAAAATGCATCTATGTTTACAGCCAGAGTACTCCTTGAAAGCCAGGATGGCCAGACATTATCTCTCATATTTTGGACATGTTGGCAGGAGACGCCAGTCACTGGAGAAGGAGAACTTGTTTGGTAAGGTGGAGGGTCAGAGAAAAAGAGAAAGGCCTGAGCGAGATAGACTGGCACAGTCGTAGGTAGCATCCATAGTATGCTGTCACTATTGTGAGGTTGGCCCAGGACCGGGCAGTGTTTTTTTCTGTTGTGCATAAGGTCGCTATGAGTAGGTACCAACTCAATGGTACCTAACAACATATATTATGGAATACTGTTGTGTAGTTAAGTGCTATTGAGTCTATCCAACTCATAGGAAGCCCTTACAAGGTTTCTGAGGAGTGCTTGGTGGATTTGAACCACCAGTCCTGAAGTCAGCTTCCAGTGCCTATCCTCCAGCACCACACCAGGACCCCCCATGGAATATTATTCAGCTACAAAGAGAAATGACACATGCTACAACATGGATGACACTTAAAACCATACTGAGTATTCCAGAACACTTACTTGTGTGAAGAGGCAGTTTGTTCAAACAGAACAAGGGGACACTGAATGGTTTAAAATCAGGAAAGGTTCTGTACCAGGGCTGTATCCTTTCACTATATTTAATCTATATGCTGAGCAAATAGTCGAAGAAGGTGAATCATATGAAGAAGAACATGACATCAGGACTGGAATAAGATTCATTAACAACCTGCAAAATGCAGATGACACAACCATGCTTGCTGGAAGTAAAGTGAACTTGAAATAGTGATGAAGGTCAAAGACTAAAGCCATCAGGGTGAGTTGCACCTCAATGTAAAGAAAATGAAAATCCTCAAAACTGGACCAATAAATAATGTGATAAGTGGAGAAAAGATTGAAGTTGTCAAAGACTTCATTTTGCTTGGATCAACAATCAACACTCATAGTAGTCAAGAAACTAAATGATGTGTTGCACTGGGCAAATCTACTGCAAAAGGCCTCTTGAAAATTCTCAAGAGCAATGGTATCAGTTTGAGGACTAAGGTGCCTGATCGAAGCCATGGTATTTTCAATCACCTCACATGCAAGTGAAAGTGGGACAATGAACAAAGAAGATCAATGCATCTGAATTACAGTGTTGGTGAAGAATATTCAAAGTACCATGGACTGCCAGAAGAACAAACAAATCTGTCTTGGAAAAAGTACAACCACAGTGCTCCTTAGAAGCGAGAATGGCAAGACTTCCTTTCTCATTTTTTAGACAGGTTATAAGGAGGGATCAGACTCTGGAGAAAGACCATGCTTGGTCAAGTGGAGATAACGAAAAAGAGAAAGACCCTAGTAAGCTGGAATGACACAGTGGCAGCAACAATGGACTCAAACATCGCAACAATTATGAGAATGAAACAGGACCAGGCAGTGTTTCACTGTGTTGTGCATAGTATTGCTGTAAGTCAGAACCTACTCGATGGCACCTAACAACAATAACATTTTTGGTGAATAGAAAGTGGGGCCTTAAAATCTTTAGAGCAGCTACCCAAGATGCAACTACTGGTCTCCCCATTAAGAGAAAAGAAGAATAAAAAGAATCTAAGATTTAAGGCAACAGTTAATCCAAAGGACTAACAGACCACATGAACCAGTCTCCACTACTCTGAGATCAGAACAACTAGATGGTGCCTGGCTCTCACTAGCAACTGCTCTGAACATCGTGAACCAACCAAAGCCATACCCACCATCATTGAGTTGATTCTGACTTACAGAAACCCTGTGGGACAGAGTAGAACTGCTCCGTAGAGGTTCCAAGATTGTAAATTTTTACAGGAACAGACAGCTTCATCTTTTTTCCATGGAGCAGCTGGTGGGTTTGAAACTCTGACCTTGCAGTTAGTAGCCTAAATGCCTAACCTGCTATACTACCAGGGCTCCAAGTCCTATACAGAATAGTAGAAAAAAATTATACAGTAAAATTCAAAATCATAAAGAAAGATGAGACGTACCTCATCTTGTAGAGACTAGTGGGACCCCCAAAACTGTGGTCCTCAGACACCGTTCAAGCTTGGAACTGAACCCACCCCTTGGAATCAACTTTTAGTCAAACAACAGATGGACTTTTAAAGTGAACAGTAACACCAGAGAAGAACACACTTCTCAGAACAATCAACCATACAAGAGCAAAAGGGCCGCATTTGCTCCAAAACAAAGTTCAGAAGGCAAGAAGCGACAGGAAAGAAAGATGAATGGAACTGGGGAACCCAGACAGGAAGTGGAAGAGTGCCGTGAAATTGAGAGACTTGCAACTAATGTCATGAAACAAAATGTGTATAGACTGTTGAATGAAAAACATTTCATTCAATGAATGAATTTCTTCTGTAAACTTTCACACAGATTATAATAAAACAGTCAAAAAATAAGAATTAAACTACTATATTATTTTAAAAGGGGGTGGGTTAGCAGGAATAATAATTGAGAAATAAAATATGATTATATCACTTTTATAGACCTTTAGGAAATTCAAAATGGAGATCCAGTTCCTTAGCAAATCCATCTCTTGAAGTCTCCACCCAACAAAAAAATTTGTGCAATATGCTATGGACCTGTTATCTAGTACAAATTCTTCCAGGTTAATGTCTCACCTGTAGATATGAACTCTGAAGGGATTTCAGCATCAAGGGAAAATAAGACTGCAGTCAATAGACTGCAGAGACTTTTATTCTATTAAAATATTTTAAAATGCAAAATCAGAAATAAAAATATTCCCAATGATTCTATTCTCTAAATATCCTGAGTAAAAAAATAGAGATAAGAACACAAACAAAAGTTCACCTATGCTGACCACAGATCTCAGGATCCTGCCCAGTGATAGTATAAGATTTTTAAATTTGCATGCTTGTGACACAGTCTATAAAAAAGCATTTTAAAAGAGCACAAGATACATAGGTATACAAAACTCTCAGTTATAGAGTGTGAACACAGCTCAATTCCATTCATTTAAGTGAGCTAAATCAGGGTTATAAAAAAAAATCTCATTCTTGAGGCTTATTAACTCACAGTGTAGAAAACCTACCTTGGAAATGCTGTTCTTCCCTTTTGGCAGCAAATAAAACTGGCTCACCAAGGCTGTATTATTTTTAAAAATCCCCACATCACACCACTGTCGTTCTCCTGCTTTCATTGTGGTCACTGGATTTGAAGGCATCTCTTTCTAATTTCAGAGAAAAAAAGTTTATTAAGATTCTTACTGAACATGTAAGAAATGTTGAGAGCTAATAAATCCATGCAGTGATCCATAAGTAGGTACATGGGTAAGCACCACAACATTAATAATAGTTCCTATGTAAATAAAATCTTAACAGAATAGGTCAAGTGACAGGGAAACAGGAATGCTAATTCAAACATAGGGAGTGACAAGCATTCTCCAAGTGAGCAGCTCTGTACTACTAACTTAGCTGGAGTTAGCATGCTCTCCAATCTGTGGTATGTTAAAATGCCAGCTGTTTGATAGAACATTGTCATCTTAGAGGCTCTCTTACAGTAAATGTAATCCCATTTGATAAAACATGGTAACTTGCTCTGAGTGAGCAAACAACGAACAATTCATTCCAAGCTGGCTCATTTCTAGACTCAAAAACTGCTAGCAGAAATTCACTGATCTTTGTATTTGAAATACCTGCGATTCTCCAAACCTAAAAGGAGAAAAAAGGTTCAAAACTACAAAGTAACTTGAATATGCTTTTAGTTTATAAATGCACTAAGGAAGACCAGGTTGAACAGTTTTGCCCTGCTTTAAAACAAATGCACTTCCTCTACCTTAAGCTATTTTTAGTGATAAGTGAATTATACTTAGTCCTGGAACTAACCTTTTAAGCCATCTTCTTTATAAATGAGACACTGTTTCCAGAAGCTCAAAACAAATGTGCACTTCAGTTATTTATCTCTGTCTTAAATATATAACAGCAGAGGTACATGCTTATAATTCACATTATTTGTTATTTAGGCTATCACACATGACAAAGAGAGCTAACTAGAAATCTTTAATAAGATTAAGAAAGAAAGAAAAGGTGCTTTAAGACTTGTTTTCATTTCCTAAGGTTGTAAAAACTCTCTTCAACAACTTTTATAAAATAATTGGCTACTATTGAAATAATAAATACCATTCTGGCTGATGTACTGAAAAACAGATGTTAAGGAAAAAAAGTTCATTCTAATCATCCTTCCCTGTGAAGACTATGAATACTAACTAGCTCTACATTCTGGAAAGGGGAACGCTGATAAAGATAAATATATCATCAAAAGCCATAAAATCATGATCAAGAGAAAACAAAAGTTATAGACAATTCTTTTAAGATTCTGAAAGGTAAGTATTAGGTCAAATAAAATTTTTTACACATAGCAGTAAAGAGGAAATGGCTAAAATTCTAAAAATCTTTACGGATATTTATATATTGTCCTTATGTTTACCTAATTAAGACAATCTTGGTACATTTGTGGAGCACATTGCTAGCATTTTAAGTCTGGTGCTGTGTAGATCAACTCTGGCCTTTCTCAACACAGCCCTTGGTGCCAATGCCAGAGATTACTGGACTACCTGGTGTATACGTACACGCCAAGTAAGTAGCTGGCAAAAGGGCTATCTGAGTTCTATACTCCATAACATATCCCATCATTTATTCTTTAAACCATGAATGTAACATATGTAATCTTTTATACACACAACACACACACACATTCTCAATTATAAAAGTAGCACGTTTTCATTACAGACAAATAGAGAAAGTGTAAGTATGACACTAAAAGTTACCTGAGCCCCACTAAGATAGGGAGTCATTAACATTTTGGTGTGGATGTGTATGCGTGCATGTGAGGTTTGAGCGCAGGTGCTGTATATATTTTTAAACAAAATTGGGATCTACAGTGTGTGTGTATAAATATATATTCATATACATATGTATATGAATATATATATATATATAATTTTTATCTAACTTTAATCACTTAATGTTATATTATGAAGATTTTCCTCTACAACCATTCAGTTCTAAATTCACATCAATTCATTACAGAAGTGGCTTTTCATGAATTTATTTAGAAGTTGCTTAGCTTTTAGAAAGTCACACTCATGGGCAAACATGCACCACCACCAGGTCACGTACTTACAGAAAAGGGACTTGTGGTAGCAGCATGGGTCTCTACACGGCTGATCTTAGTTGCAGGCAGTGCACATGTTTCATCAACTGAAAATACAACAAGTCAACTGGTAAGACTTACAGTGTCACTAACCAAACAGATACATTAAAACGTAAGTTTTAAATATACAAAAATAATCAGAAGGAGAAAAATCATGCTACTTAGAAACATGAACCGCTAACTTAAACAAATTCACCAAGGACTCAGATGATTAAGCTAGAACTTCTGAGAATGTTTATGAAAGATGAAACATAATTCCTACTACAAAACAAAACAAAAAATAAGAAAATTTATAAAATTATAAAGCAATTAGGAAAATTATTAATCCATAGTCTAGAACCAATCTTTTATAACGTAAAAAAATTGAATTTATTCCTGTGGTAATTTAAGAATTTTATGTAAGGCAGCACAGAACATATACCGTAATTTTAATTGAAATGCTTTCCTTGGAAACCCTGTGCAGGGTCGCTATGGGTCGGAATTGACTCGACGGCACACAGCAACAACAACAACAACAACATCTGCTTATAATTGATTCAATCCATGATGAAATGCAATTTCCATCTAAGACAAATAAGTTGATGAATTCCTATACATAAATGGCTCAAAATACAGTATGTGAAACACATTTCAAACCTTCAGATTTGGTACTGAATGTTGTTAGTGAAGTTTCATCTTTAACCACTGCCCCATTTGTACTGGATGATTCAGTTTTAATGGTCTTCTGGGTTACCATAGTGTGTGTACTGGAAACAGTGCTGGATACAGAAGTGTCAGGAATTACAGTTCTTAAGTCCAGGCAACTACTTAGAGCACCTACATTTGCTGAAGTATGAGGACCTACAATTAAAGGGAAAAGGACAATGATTAATATAACACGAGGGAGCTTCCGAAAGTTAGTGGAAATTTTCCATTATATTTTCATTCCGTTATTCCACAAACTTCTTTGGAGGCCCCTTGTAGTTACAGGTAACGGTTGTGTTTTAGAGTTTTTGCAATACAATTCTTCATACTTTCAGTTTTAAAATCAAAACGTAAGTATCTCAATAGGCATTCATATAAACTGACCGTTATATACACAACGTTTTAAAAATAAAGTATATAGCTCCATAATGAAAGGAGCCCCAGTGTGACACCACAGAATAAGCATTGGACCACAAGGTCAGTTTGAACTGCCAAGTTGGTGGTTCAAACACACCAGCTACTCCTGGGAAATCCTATACAGGGTCACTATGAGCCAAGGTAAAATTGTAGATTTAACAACAATATCTATAATGAATGTCCAACACATCACAGCTCCCTACCTCCAATCTAAACATGGAAGCATTGTTCTCAAATTCCCTATTAAGTCAAGGATTAAGAACTGTCAAAAAATGACCTTGTTTCTTATTTTGTTCTTAAGTGCCATCAAGTTGGTTCTGAATCATAGCGACCCTGTATAAGGTTTCCAAGGAGTGGCTGGTAGGCTTGAACCACTGACCTTGTGGATAGCAGTCCAGTGCTACCCAGAAAATACTATATTGAGTATTCAGTACAAGTTGATATTGATGATTGTCCAGCATGATCCTACAGCACCACAGAAAAAAAATTGAGATCATCAAACATGAATTTGCTCAAATTTCTGTACAGTTCTGCTCCAAACCAGGAAGCTATGATACTGCCTATCTTGCCTTGTTTCGTTTTCAGAGGATAAAGTGACCTCCCTCCCCTGGATCTCGGGACCCTCTTTCATCAATCATTCCTCTCTCTACAAGGTTTTCAGACTCTTCTTAGTAGCTTCTCACTCTCAGTCATAAGTATAATCAAGTCTCTCAAGCAAACAAACCTACCTTTCATGATCCTACGAGTCTCCTTCAGTTACCATCTCCCCTCACGATTTCCCTTTATTAATAGCCTCTACTTCCCTGATCACCAAAATTTGGTTTCTAGCTTGCTATTCAAATGAAATGGCCCTAACAAAGATCAATGATTTCCAGGGGATGGAGTGGAGGTGGGGAAAGTTTCAATTTTCATTTATTTATCCTCCCTGAAATATAAACAATTGTTTTTGTTGGTAAATGCGGTTGAGTTGGTTCCAACTCATAGCCACGCTGCAGTTCAAACTAACCTTGCAGTTCAGTGCTTATCCTACAGCGCCCCAGTTGTTGTTGTTGCTATGTGCCATCAAGTTGCTACCGACTCATAGTGACCCTATACACAATAGAACAAAACACTGCCCGATCCTGGGCACCAACCTCATCATTGTTGCCATGCTTAAGCCCATTAATGCTGCCACTTGGCCAATCCATCTCGTTGGGGGTCTTCCTCTTTTTCTCTGACTCTCCACCTTATCCTTCTCCAGCGACTGGTCCCTCCTGACAATATGTCCGAAGTAGTATGAGACACAAAGTTTGGCCATCCTAGCCTCCAAGGAGCACTCTGGCTGCACTTCTTCCAACACAGATCTATTGGTTCTTTTGGCAGTCCATGGCACTTTTAGTATTCTCCTCCAACACC